TGCTCTCTGTATGTGTGTATATATATCTCCTCAATATATGTTCCATTCTATATGCATCCGAAGAAGTGGGCTGTAGTCCACGAAAGCTTATGCTCTAATAAATTTGTTAGTCTCTAAGGTGCCACAAGTACTCCTGTTCTTCTTTTTGCGGATACAGACTAACACGGCTGTTACTCTGAAACCCTCACAAATGCAGCCATGTATTTAGGGAAGAGATTTTTCAGAAGCACAAATGGTAGTGAAGGCCCTAACTACCACTGACTTTCAAAGAGAGTTAGGCATCTAGCTGCCATTTGTGCCTTTGACAAGTCTTCTCCACCGTTGTTCCAACTGCTCAAATATCTTGGCAAAAGTTGAATGCAAAAAGGTAGGAGGAGAACAGGCCAGATGATAGCTCTATTCAAACCTGCTGACCTAGCATTCGAGACCTTAAGTCCACACATTCTCAGGTTCTTTTGTTTTTATTCTTCTGTATCCTGCACTGGTCAGATGTCTTGAGCTATCTTAGACCAATATGTGGAACCCCCTTTCCCTTCAAATGTTCTTGCAAACTCAGATCCTTTTATTATTATACTGCAGCAGCATCCAACCATGCCAACTGCTTGCCAAAAACAGAGCAGACAGACAGACAGACAATCTAAACACAGGAGACACTTTAGTATTTGAAGTGATGTCCAATACAAGATCTCATTAGATTTCGGACTTCACTTTCACCACGGATCATCCTTCCACCTCTTATTTTAGGTATTTACATGGTCCCTATTACCATAGCAGCTGAGTATTTCACAGTCTTTAATCTCTCCTCACAACACCCCTACGAGGCAGGAAGTGTTATAATCCCCATTTTACAGATGGGGAACAGAGGCACAAGAGATTAAGTGACTCACCCAAACCCATACAGGAAAACTTTGGCGAAGCAGGGAACTGGATGGTGATCTCCCCAGTCCCAGGCATATGCCATAACCACTGTCCCATCCCACCCTTCCTCTCCTCAGGTGCCCCCGCCAACCTGATGTGCCATCACTATTCCAGTGTGCCCTTCTTTACAGCAGAAATTCCAATTTAGTACAAGGGCCTGGCAGGGTAGTTCAAAAAAAAAAAAAAAAAAGCTAGGTTAGTGAAAATGTCTGAAGTTTGGGAGAAGTTGGAGTGGAGGGGAGAAGCTCCTTGTGGATGAAGGCAAGGACTGGTGCACTGGGGAAGCATAAATATTCTATAATGAGTGGGGTAGAGAGCAAGTGACTCGTCTTATTGAACAGCAGCCTTTCAGTCAGTAAATAGCATGGGTGGATTCAGAATCCCAATTAGCATGCCTTTGCAAAACAGGATGGCTAAGGCCCAGTTTTTTAAAGCTATCTGGCACCTACAGATGCAAATAGGCACCCAGTGGATTTTCAAAAGCTCCTACCCACCTAAATGCCAATGGGAAAATTCCACTAGACACCTATCTGCATTTTTGCACATCTAAATACCTTTAAAATTCTGGTCCTAAGACATGGGGGCAAAAGGGAAAAAAAAACTAGAAGGGATCCCTTCATGCTAGTAAGGAGAAAAGGGAAGTGACTTGCAGAAACCATCAGATCTATTTACATTTGATAAGAGTTTTGCATATAAGTTAAGAGCAAGAGTCTGTGTTCCTGGATTCTATTCCCTGCTCTGACTCACCCAAGGCCACACAGCAAATCAATGATACTTAATCATGCCTCCTTAGCTTCCCCACCTGAAAAACAGGGATAATACTTTCTTGCCTTTTTAAAGTGCTTTGAAATCTTCGTCTGAAATGTGTTATAAAACAGTGAAAAGTATAATCAAGAAAGAGTGTCTTTTCAAGAACAGACAATGGTCCAAACCAATGAGACAACTTCTAGGTTCTAACGGTTATGAAGGTTGGAATCCAGGAAATGCTAAGAAACAAAAAAACTCTTCTTACCTCCATAGTTATAGAAAGCATCTCGTTCTTTTGTTAGAACCACTGTCCCAACAACATCCACCTGTCTTATTGGATGTCCATTATAAAAGAATATACCTATGGAGAAAGACACAGAATATTTCCGTTAAGTGTGACTGAATACTGCTTGCAGGAGTTCTACATTGGTTAGCCATTCACGTCATTAGAAAGAGGATCCTCTTGTTCTTTTAATGAGTTTTAAAGTTAGCAAATATTTACTTATATCAAAAATACCTGATCGATGAAAATGGGAAAAAATAGTAGTACTAGTTCACTGAGTACACTGAGGCACAGTACTAGTGCCACACACTTAAAAGGAGATGTCAACAGTTTTGAATTTTGTAGTCAACAGACACTACAGGTCTTCATAATTTGATCCTCTCTCTCCTTTCTTGAATATTTTGACTAGCTGCAAAATAGTTAAATGTGATTTTATTTGTCATCATTAGGCTTCAGAGTAAATGTTCTTTTAAATAAATATGAGCAGTTTATACATCTCCCTGTACTTCTGTTTGAGGCTGTCTACAGATTGAGGCAGAAATCACTGAATCTTTTAAATTTTTAAGGCTATTTTCACAACCAAAAGGGTTAAGGAAGGGACCATTTAAAATAGACAAACTTAGATTCTGAAGCACAAGATGCAGGTATCAGGGGAAACTACTAGCTCATTTAACCACTGCAACCAGTCCCCCCATAAAATATCCCTTCCAGACTTCATTTCTATGCTTCTATGAAACAGACTTTGATAACGCTTTTCAGTATCAAAATATGTCTGAGAAACCTCAAAGCCCTTTTGTCAGCTTCTGCCCAGCATTCACTTAAGAAATACAGAAGCCACTATGACCACCCAATACCTTTATCGAGAAACAAAACGAAAAACGCTTAAGTAAAACACTCATGCGACATGCCAAATATACAACCACAGAATGCATTAGTGCTCATACCACCAGAACAACACACTATGTAGAAAGGAGAGAAGATAATTCAAGAGATTTAAATAACCTGGACTGCTAATTATTTTAAATGCATATATTACAGTATCTTCCATTTCAAAAGATTGCAGCCCCACTGAGATGCAGACCCATATGATATGGGCAGCTGGCAACTAGCATACGACACGCTGAACAAAACTAGGAATTGGAGAGGGAAAGATTTGGCTCAAGACACCAAGGCAAATCCCTAACCTTATGAAGGAAGACATGGGATATTTTAATGCACATACAAGAGTCAGGAGGTCAGTTTAATGTGTGGAATCAAAACTGATTAAAACCCTAAAATAACCTATTCTACATAGCCAGAGACATAGCCTGAACAGGTCTTCAATAACCTTCAATGGGCCTGGAATTAACTTCTTCACATTTCTGAGTCACAGGCAAGTTTTCAAGGTGATGCACAAGTGTTTAGCCACACAATTTATATGGAAGTTGTGCTGACAAAAGCTCACAACATGCATTGAAGAATTATCCACTGCTGTGATCTCAGAGTTGGGTGTATTTGTTGTGCAGCTGCAGATCAGGGCTAGAGTAGGAAACATTTACAGGACTGACCACTTTCCTTTTGTCTTCTCCCTATGTTTAATCATAAACAACAATTAATGCTTATATAGAAACTCTTCCAAGGATGCCAAGGCAGTTTATATACAGTAATTATACTTCACCACCCTTGACATAGGCAAGTATTACCACCATTATGTTTCAGCTGCACTGTAAACATCTCAGGGCAGGGGACTGTGCCTTGCTTCACTTTTGTACAGTGCAGAGGCAGTCCTCGGTACACTATTCTGCCCTTTTCACAGATGGGAACATTGAGGCACAGAATGACTAAGTTGTACAGCTGGGAATAGATCTGGGAGTCCTGACTCCCAATCCCTATAAGAACATACAGAAAGCCACCTCACTGAGATTTAAACAGCATTTGCCAGCATTTCTTTAAAGGGTGACATACTGGTGTTTTATATTGTTGAGTTATTTAACTGGATGGTTTGAGGAACTAAATCAGGAGTTTCTCCATCTCTAGGTCACTGGTTCAAACTCTGCTCAGAATGGTAGCTATCAAAATCCATTACCAGCTACCAGTCACCCTGTGGCCTGCATGAGGTGAAGGATATTCTCAATCAAGCTCTTAGTAAACAGCTATATACATTTATAATTTTTAAATTCTCCACTACAGTTATTTCTGATATAACTCACATGCTTTATTCTGCAGCATTTGACTTTGTTTCTTGAAGGGAAAGAAGGTAAGGCGAGAAGCAGTGTGAAGGAGACATAAATCTTAGTTGGACACTCCATGTCTCTACACACATGCAGAGAGCAGGTCATGGCAACTCAGAAGGACCCAGAAGTTTCCTGAACAGGGTGTGGCAGTGACTTGATGCGTTCAACAGCTGTTTGGAGGCCGTATATGATGTGTTCACTGTGGGCAACCCAACTGGATGGGTCACCCTTGGAGAGCTGAGCTGGAGTGTGTGTGTGTGTGTGTGTGTGTGCGCGCGGGGGGAGGTTATAAATATAAGAGTTACAGACAGCTCTGTAGACTGTCAGTGGCTGATCTATGCAGGACCAAGAGATATGTCTGTCTGCTGTGAGAATTGGGTCTCAGTCCCTGCACCTCTTTGGATACAGGCTACAGTCTTCTGTTTCACCACCACCTGAGAGAACCAGTGAGCCAGTAAACCAGAGCCTGGAATAGTGTTGGTTGTGGAGATCCCCTGACAGGATTCTGAAGTGTTTAAAAGGACTGAGATTCTGCCATTTCTCAAGCGCTGAAAAGTCCACGACACACATTCCATACTATCAGAGGGGTAGCCGTGTTTGCGGCTTTTACAGATCCAGACTAAAGAGTCCTGTGGCACCTTATAGACTAACAGACGTATTGGAGCATGAGCTTTCGTGGGTGAATACCAACTTCATCAGATGCATGTGATCCGACGAAGTGGGTATTCACCCACGAAAGCTCATGCTCCAATACGTCTGTTAGTCTATAAGGTGCCACAGGACTCTTTGCTATTCCATACTATGGTCACACTATAAAGACTGAGAAATCACTCACAAGCAGAGGAGACGTGTTTTGATGTGTGTGCACTGAAGTATAGAAAATGTTATGCTGAAAACTTGTATTTGAATGTTTGTTACAGAAACAAAAAGGGGTAAAGTCAATATATTAAATACCAGTAGATGTACTGTCTAGTAGCTTTGTTTAAAAGTTATGTATAATATCCAAAAACTTATTTACAAGGTTTTGAGTGCACCATGTTTACACTTTCTAAGCAAAACAGAATACTCTTTGAAAATTCCCTGGAAATTATTAATATCCATTTATTGGGTTTTACATACTATAACCCTAAGATTTAACTCTGTGTAATGCTTTCCGAGAAGTCTTTAAGAGACAGAACTTTGGCCTGTGCTTCTAGAAAAAGTTGCTGAGGTACAGGAAGAAGGGAGTGTATAGTTCTACAGAATATAGCCTGTATACAGAGTTATCTAGTATATAGCCTGGCCATCACTCTGTCCCCATTACAAAGACTGTCTGAACAGAGGTATAATGGATAGATCAGACATGTGGAACTGCCCGCTGACCTCTTTAGGGTCAGGGATCTTAAAAGTTTTGCTAAAAGCTGGAGCCCCGTATCTTTAACTGAGCAGTACAAAATCATAGAAGCATAGAATCTTTAATGACTGCTGTTCGTGAACCTGCTTTTATACTATTCATAGCTTCCCTTTTTTGTTGATAAGGTGCTGTCACACTGCAGAGTCAGTGCAGCTAGCCAGATTACTTTAACACTGAAAAAGAGGCTCATTTCCATGCTGTAATTACATTGTGTTGTTGCGTTTGACACCCACTCTCATTTCAAGGCATCTGGGGCATCACAATTGCTGCTTTTATCTGGGTGGTTTTCAGCCTTCATGTCACCATATACAACAGGAGAGAAGCTGGCTGGGTTTACATGTTTTCCCCAGTGCTGTTCTAAGGGATTAGTCATGGTTTCCTAGAATCCTAGCAGTTAGACCTGGAAAAAGACTTATTAGATCATTTAGTTCATACTCCCAGTGCCAGTGCAGGATCATTCCATACAGCACATTCTTTAGAGAGCTGTACAATCCCGACATAAATAAATTTGAGTGATGGGCCTTCCGGCCCTTCCCTAGGGAGTCTGTTTCACAATCAAACAGATCTGACTGCAAGGATGTTTTCCCATAAGTTCAGCCTATGTTTACTTTTTAATTTCCTCCCATTGCTCTTTGTGCCGACCTAAGTCATTCCCAATTATCATTAATGACTGGTTTTTAGCCAATTATATACTTAACAGCATCTGGTCTTTAAGAAAACCATTAGAGGGGGGAATTTTGGCAGCAAATGTATACATTGCCCATCTCGTTCCCCCACCAGCCTCCCACCGAACACTTATTTGTGTATGGTTCTATTCCTATGGCATTGAATGTGGGGGGAAAAGACATGCTGGAAGGACCTGTGATGGTTCATATAGTGAGTGTGCACACGTGCACCCCCCACCAAAGAGATGGACAAGAGAATTAGGATTGTTTGTTCCATGACTTTTCATCCTTATATGGCACTGCAAAGTCTGTTAATATACACACATGTACACGTGTGCGCACACACACACACCTGCAATGACCTTGGTTGTGCAAAGAGACAAATCCACAGGAAGTGGGGAAAACTTGCATGCCCCAATTTTAAAAGGGTGGCATCTTTATGAGCACCTTATTTATAAGATTAATGACAAAAATTGTGGCAGATGAGGAATCTCTCTCAAATAAAACCTCATGGCATACAAATGAGAAATATAAGAACATATTTGGGAGAGGAAGAAGTGCTGTAGTTGTCTAGGACGTTAAAAGAAGAGCAAGAGTATGTTTGTTGATGTTCATAAAATTTTTATTCTTCCACTGTGTGCTATTATTAATTGTTTTGCAGAAGCATCTAGAAGCCCCAGGCTTGGGCCAGGACCCCACTGTGCTAGGTGATGTACAACACACAGAACAGAGAGAGACAGTCTCTGTATTATTGTTTTTAAATCAAGAAAAGATTAAGTACTTAAAGATGACAGTCTGTCAATTCTTTGAAGGCAAGGACATTCTTTTCATTGAAGTTTGCATAGCACCTAGCACAATGGGGCCATTATCTCAGATTTTAAAATACAAGATTAACCATCAGCAGTAACTCCATATTTGGTCACTGCCCCAGGTTCTTTGAAAACACCCATCATATCTATTTCCACAGAAGTAAATATGCTGGGTCTTGTACACTCCATGTTGTCCCTAAGGGCACAACACTAGATGTCAGGAGAGCATAACAAAGCCAGTTCTTGCCTTCCGGAAGGAGACTAGCGTCATTCCTATTGTCAATGAAAAGTTAATATATTAACAAAAATCAAGAGCAGTGCTTCAAGGGTAAAGCATGCCAAGGACCTTCTTTTATTCAAGGGGATAAATATATATACCTAGCTTTTCTTGTAGATAAACCTACTCAGGACTAGCTGATTTTCATGATTAACTCTCTAGGTTTCCCTATGGGTTTTCCTTCCCTTGTCCCTCCCCACAAGAACAGTCTTAAGTCCTGCCCGAAATAGTTTGGGGTACATAGACCCCATTACAGCCTGTTTAGGTTCTTCCTAGTGATAACAGCAACCCAATGTCAGCCCTATGCTGCATTAGAAAATGTATATATGTGGGCGATATTGGCTGGAGCTCCACAGGAAACAGACAGCAAAGCATACAATTTCAAACAATGGTTAGGAAATAAAAGGTGTGGCATAAGAGTCAGCACAGAAACTAGAATGAACCACAAGGCTTCCAAATACATGAAGTATCCTTCATTCATATTTAGAAACCAAACAGGCAAAGCCCATTCCTATTTCGTACTACCTATGAATGTGCCCAGACAAAACACACTGCTTTTTGAAAACATTTAAATACAATAAAGTGGCCACCTTTCAACATGAAGGCAATAAAAGAAAAGTCTGGAAATCCTCCATAAACCTTTTTAAATGGTTTGAGGGGGAGAAAGCATAACAATTTTTTTTAAACAATTAAGCTTTATTAGATCCCAACAACACACGTACAGAGAAAGTTAGTGAAGCCTTTCTGCTGTGCCAAACAAGTCTCTTAATTTTAGAGAGATTTTTTCATACCACTTAAAACAATGGAGAAGGCATCAGGTCTCCTAAGTTCCATTTCCAACACTGCCACTACAATTCTACATAAATTAATACATGTTCTTTGACTTCTGTGTCTCAGCTGTCCTGATGGAGACAATACTGACCTACCTCACAGGAGTGTTGAGGACTCACTCATCAGCATTCAAAAAGACTCTGAGATCCTTGGACAGTCAGTGCTACATAACTAAGACTGCAACTTTGTAAAGCTGATACTGTTCTACAATAACACCCATTACTAATTAAACCCATTACATTTCTATACACACCAAAGAAATCAGACACACATACCTGGAACCTGCTTAGATTCTTTCATTTCCTTTATATCCTTAATGTAGAGTCTTGCAAATGCAGAAAAGACAGGATCCAACCCCCATAACAGGGAAGGCATCTCTGCTTCATACTTCACAGCGTCGGACTGCATTCAGAAATCAAGTGACCAATTCCCATGAACAAGGATTGCTGATGATCTTTATCTACACAGGTAAAAAGATGCTATTACATACAGCCCTCAGAAATTGATAGTGAGTTTCCGGAAACTGTAGCACAAAACATGGTAAAATATCTGCTGTCCTAGCTTACTTGAAGCGAGTGACCAGTAGTAGCACCAATAGCATTCTGCCATCAACTCCTTCAAATTAAAACACAAATTAAGGGGATTTCTCTACAGAAGTACAACGATAGAAAGATGTCCAAAATATATTTCACTAATAGAGTTGGAGCATCACATGCCTTCTTTTTACCTTTTTTACTTTTCTATTTCTCTTTTTGTTTATGGTTTTCTTCCTCTTCCCCCTCACCCCATAAAAAAGTATCTTCCCCTATTCGTCTACTTGAATATTTTACTGAAAAATTATCTTATTTTATTGGAACAAAATGAAAGCAGCCACCTCTTCCCCATTTTATACCACAAAACCTTCAATGCTTCATACTGGTTACCTCCCCTTCCCTTTCATTCTGATTACTGTCTTGTTCTCTTCTCTCACCACCATCATGACTAATTTAGACATCCCACGAGGCAGATAATTTCAGAAAACAGGTGTTCTGCCCAAAAATACCTGCCCGGGGACACCCAGTAGGAATTTTGAGCCTTAACATGCATTTTTGTTAACTTCCCCTTTGCTGGCATTTAACTTGTTCCTGTAAAGTACTCCAGGTTGCCCCAGAGCATGAAAGGAACGGTAAAAAATAGTTCTATTTGTCCCCTTTTGCTGGGGAAGAACAAAAGAGAATACCACTCTCCTTCAACCTCCCCAGTTTTAAGTGCAACAGTCATTCATGCTGGTATAAAGGTGAAGACATTTTTATTGCTCAAGTTCCTCAATGCAGCCACTCCCTTTTGTTTATGCAAAATTAATACCAGTTTGCTGTGCCTGGATTTATTTTTGTTTCCTCCTCCCACAGGCAACTCTACTTTCTTCCATGCTGACCCTTACATATGGAAGGCCTTCCAAAACCTACCCAACCACCCTCTCCTCATCAAATCCCTCCACGAAGTTAATGTCTCCCATGAAACCTACAAAGGTGTGAATTACATCAGGGGTCTTGACCTTTTTCTTTCTTATCCCCTGCCCCAACATTCTATAAAAACTCCACAGCCCACCTGTGCCACAATTGTTTTTCTGCATATAAAAGCCAGGGCCGGCATTAGGGTGTAGCAAACAGGGCAATTTCTCCCGGCCCCATGCTATAGGAGGTCCCGCAATGCTAAGTTGATTCAGCCCCAGGTGGCAGCGCTCGGGGCCCCGGGCTTCAGCCCCCCATGGTGGGGCTTTGGCTTTCTGCCCTGGGCCCCAGCGAGTCATGCTGGCCCTGCTTGCAGGACCCCCTGAAACCTGCTCACAGCCCCCAGGGAGCCCCAGACCCAGGGTTGAGAACCGCTGAACTACATGATGTTTAGATCAAACCCTACCAAGTAGCATACATGAACTAATTCAGTCACTGTATGATCTTATCAATTTAACTCTGGCCCACCTCACCCGTCCCTGTTCCTTTTTGGAGCTGTACTCACCATTGCTCATTATGCCTGTATGAAATCTAGATTGTAAGCTTTACAAAGCAAGGTTGTTGGCAAATTGTGTGTTTTGTAGGGTACCTAGCACGCCTATAGGCATGGCAAAATTATTACTATCAGAGGTCAAAGCAAGAGATAAGAACAGCCGTCCGAGTTCAAATGCCAGAGCTCAGGATCAAGACAGAGTCAGAGCGAGGAACTGGAGCCAAGGGACAGATGTGGAGTCGGAAAAGGCAGGAGCAGGGTTGTTTCAGAAGCAGGAGTGAGGCTGGGACAGGACTGGAACAAGGCAAGGTGCAGGGCAGGGTCTAGGTTGGAGCAGGACCGAAGCAGGGCTTGGAGCGAGGCAGAGAATTCACAGGCCTGTGCATTGAGCCAGAAAGTTACTGCCTGGCTTAAGATCTGGCCTGATAGCTTCCTCAGTGAACCAGGCAGTCTAGCTGACTCCTCAGACTGTCAGGAGTCTGAACAGGTACAGCCGCAGGGCCTTATTCCTGACACCAGATTAGAGTGAGGGGAAGCAGTTCCGCTTAACCCTCTCCCACCCAGAAGGAAGAAGGGTTAAGATATCATGCCTGTCTCATGATGCTATGATATAAACTATTCAATTTTAGGGGCACTTCTTCCCTGGAAAGTAACCTAACAGAAGCAGATGGTTTTGGTTCCCTAGGGAAATTTTTCTTTTTGTATAAATCAGTATCTCCCAAACAAAAGTCATCAGGTATATTCCACACATTGAATTCCAGCATCTGTCACAATGTTACAATAGAAGACATTTCTCTGAGCCAAGCCCAAGATGACACTTCTAGACCTAAAAGCAACAAGGGAAGAGTTAGGCAACAAGCAGGTCTGACTACATATTACTTCATAAATTCACATGTGCTGGGGGTGGAGCAGAAGAAGAAAGTCACCAGTGGCACACGTGAATCCCTGGGATAATTAATGAAGGACTTTCCATCAGTAGCCCTGGAAATAAGGAAGTATTTAGGAGTTCAATAGCAATTACTGTATTTTAAGGATGGTCAAACATTCCCAAAATGTATATAGGCTGGACTGGCACTTTCCTGAAATCCTGGCCCCGTACACAGTTTGCATGAAGTGAAGTATCTGCCCCCAACTTTTCCTTCTCCCCCATCCAGCAGAGAGAAGGATCCAGCATGCATTGCTCTAATTTGAGCAGTTTACCCTGTTAGGGCCTACTTTGGCAATTCTTTGGTCCCCTAGAGATCTAAAGGAGAACACAAGTATACAGGGACTCATGATGCTATACCTCTCCACCCCTGCTGTGACTTCTATTCATCTAGTATCATGGATCTCCACAACAGTTCTGTATTGAATTATCCCGGTCATTCCTTATAAGCACATTGGGAACATACCACCATCTGGGCTTACCTTAAGAAAGGCCTCCCTTTTTCTCTCCTACTCCAAGAGAGGGATGGAAAAGAAACTTTTCAATGCACCTACTGGGCAATATTTTTCATTACTTCATGCACATTTATAATGTCATTCACAAATGTGCTTCCGGCTAGGAGAAGAGAAGAAAGAAAAAATAAGTTAAAACAAATGCTGTCTGCCCTACCCATAGGAAACTTGACCCTAGCTCCAAGTACCTACCCATAGGAACCCTAACCCTAGGGCAGGGACCCCTACCCATAGGATCTCCTAACGCCTAGCTAAAGTACATGGTCTTCCTATGCCTGAAAATTGACACCGGAAGTTTTGACACCCGAGGCAGAGTATCCCAGGGGTTTATTAATTAGTAAGTCACCTGGGGAGAAAGTGGAACTTTCCATTATTCTAGTAGTGGCTTTAAACGCCTAATTAGCACTGGTTAATTGTTATCTGGAAGGAAGATAGCAGCTACCCTGTATACTGAAGGTTTAGGGACATAGCAGGTTCCCTGGAGATGTGTAGATATTTGTGCCATTATCGATCACAATGCTAACAGACAATTCTGAGTAGATGCTATGCACACTTAATACTTTAAATACCAAAATGCTGTGACAATTCTTAGCAATGTAAACACTACAGAGCCCCACCAAAAGGTTAGCCCCTCTTCGACTTCATTGCATACACATGGTGTAGACCTTAGGGCAGTGGTCCTCAAACTGTGAGGTGTGTCCCTATAGGGGGGTTTGGAGGACACAGTGGGGTCCAGGCCAACCCCCACAGGGGGCAGGGAAGGAACGTCACATAGCCCCATTCTGCCCCAAGCTCCGGTCCCAGCCTCAGCCCCTGGCTCTGACCACAGTGCAGCTCCACTCATGGCCCCGATCCTGGGTCCCCAGCTCCAGACGCTGGATCCCACGCGGGTGCACACAGATTCCATTATGGGTTGGGGGGGCACAACATAAAAAGTTTGGGGACCACTGTCTTAGGGATTTTGCTGTTGCAGTGTTAGAGCTTCAATCCTGCTGGAGGAAGAGAATGGCTTGGATGCATGAGTTTGTTAGATATAGAAAACATTTCTACTCCAGAGATAGATGGTACAGCCACAATAAAAACAAAAACAGGATAGTCTGCTTTTTGGAGCATTGTATCATGGTTCATAGATTTCACGGCCAGAAGAGACCATTGGGATTATCTAGTCTGACTCCCTGTATAACACATGCCATAGAACTCCCAAAATCATTCCTAGAGCAGATCCTCTAGAAAAACATCAAATCTTGATTTTAAAATGGTCAGTGATGGAGAATCCACAGCGACCCTGGGTAAACTGTTCCAATGATTAATAACTCTGTTAAAAATTTATTTCTAGTCTGAATTTGTCTAGCTTCAGCTTCAAGCCACTGGATTCTCTCTCTGCTAGACTGAAGAGCCCATTATCAAATATTGGTTCCCCACATACATACTTACAGGTTGTAATCAAGTCACCCCCTAACATTCTCTTTGCTAAGCTAAGTAGATTGAGATCCTTGAGTCTACCACGTTAGGACATGTTTTCTAATCCTTTATCATTCTCTTGGCTTCTCTCTGAACCCCCTTCCAATTTATCAACATCCTTCTTGAATTGTGGGAACCAGAACTGGACACAGTAATCCAGCAGCAGTTGCACCAGTGCAAAATACAGAGACAAAATAACTTCTCTATCCCTACTTGAGATTCCCCGGTTTATACTTCCCAGGACTGCATTGGCTCTTTTGACCATAGCATCAAACTGATCAGTAGGGCCTGCCAAACAGCTGATCGGTGAGTGGCTGGTTGGTGCCGAGCACCCGCTATTATTTTTCCAGGGGTTCTCCAGCCCCAGAACACCCACGGAATCAGCATCTATGATAATTACCCATAACTATATAAGAGTTATTGTTGAGCAAATAACTTTTTGCCGTACTACCAGTACCCAGTTCACTGCATGTACAGAATTTCCTGTGAGGCGTTAGTGCATCATCATAGAAAGGGTATTATATGGATTGGAGGAAAAAATAGTTTTGTATCAGATTACCAACCTGATGTTTACGTGTACTCTGTGATGAATACTCTTGTGATTGGGACAGTAATCTGCTAGAGAAACACTTTGTTTACATAATACTGTGTCATACTGCATTTCTTTTACAATAGAACCCCTAGTGCTGCCAGTCGATCCTTGTGAGCAGACCTATATAATGCACGCAAGGATCAGAGACATAAGAAAGGCACTATGGAAGTGCAAGATTGGAGGATCTTGAACCATTTTACAAACATTAATTAAGCCTCACGACATCATTTTATTCCCATTTTGCAGATTGTGACTTACCCAAGGGTTACACAGGAAGTGCAAGGTAGAGCAGGGAATAGAACTTAGTTTTTTCAATTCCTTATCCTCTGCTTTAGTCACAAGGCCATTCTCCTATGTATCAATAAATCAGTAAAAATACCTGGAAAAGAAATAAGTTAGCTCTATAAATTTAGTAGACGTTACTGACATCTGTGCATTTACTGTTTATGCAGAATAGCCAGAAGCAATAAGCTATCAGACATTTACTAACTATTGACAGCTTGGCAGAAAGCTCCATTTGCCTTCTGTATCTTAAAAGGTATTTAAGAATCATGCTTAAGACTATTTCTGCTCCTACTAATTCTGTAACCTTTTTGGAGTGAGAGCAGGAGGAGATAATTAATTCTCTATCACTTGCAGTGCTGTTGGAATGAGCGAAAGAAAAGAAAAAGAAAGAAAGAAAGGCTGCCATTAGGATGGAGGGGAGGCGGAGTTTGTAACTTCATTATTCCCTGAGGAAAAATAGACAAGGCAGAGGATAGCTTTTTTTGGACCAGCAAATTTATTATTTGTAAAGCACCAACTATGTGAAAATTGAGAGCAAGAAGATTCCAGGTTCCTTATAAAGGTATTTCTTGGACATTAAATTATTTGTATTACTGTAGTGCCTAAACATATATTATGCATCATTTATTGATCCAAACGTAACAGGATATTAGCTTCCTCGACAATGTTGTCTGGAAGATAGAGCAAAGAACTGAAAGTCAAGATTCCTTATATTCCCAGCTCTGCCAAGGACTCACTCTGTGACCTTAGGCAAGTCATTTAGCTTCTACATACAGTATTTTAATTTAGCCATCTCTAAAATGAGTATAATACCTATCTGGTTTTAAAGCTTAATTTAATTAGTAACATTGAAATCTTGGGTGGAATTGTCTACCATTAGTTATTCATTAAGACACGGTAAAAGACTTCCATACACCATAGGAAGTTTGACCTAAATTCTGCAGCAATGTTCCCTGGTTTCTGTGGTACTCTGTGCACATGCTGTCCTAGTGAGTTAAAGCAGCAGCTGAATTAAGGTCTAGTCTACAATTCAAAAAATACTCTGCTTAGGGATTGAGTTACAACAGGGTAGTCTCCTACATTGTTCAAATATGATTTGATGTTCAAGTGTGATTTGGTGTTAAAGTATAGGTGAGATGGTACCATGTTTTAACAATGTCTAGGGTTACCATATTTCAAGTTCAAAAAAGAGGACGCTGTGGGGTTGGGAGTGGGAGCTGAAGGAGGAGTACAGTTCGGGGAGCTGGAGGGGTTACCTGCAGCAGGGGTACTCACTGGAGGGGGGGGCAGTGTCACTCTCTGTCGTGATGGTACGGCAGCTGGTGCAAGCCCAGGATGCAGTAACAGCTGTCAATCAGCGCCTCCCTGCAGGACTCCAGGGCATGGGTGGACAGGATCTGGCAGCTGTTGTGGTGGTGACGAGGGAAGAGAGAATGGACCAATCAGTTGCCAATGCAGAGGAGGAACCAGTCAGGAAGGGGACCAATCAGGGCTCTTTCTGAGCTGCAGCGTCTGCTCTGAAAAAATCCGGACATCTGAAAAATCCCACCAGGACAGAGGATGGAGTCTCAAAAAAGAGGCAATGTCCAGGAAAACCTGGACGAATGGTAACCTTAAGTGTTAGACTTTAGTAGAACCGTTCAACATTTTTTAAACACAGTCCAGTTCCATCTATGCTGCAAGAATAAACCATGTTTTAAACACATCAGGAGTTGGCAGGGTGGCCCTAGTAATCAAGTCTCCCCAAACTGTAGTTGTTGAGTGTAGATAAGAGTTCATTCTAGACAGAATAATCTTTAAGGCCCCAATTCTGCCCCACGCAGGCAGAAAATGTGACTGGAGTCAATGGGGCACCACACAGATGCAGGGATTTGCCCACCCAGAGCTCCTTGCAGGACTGGGGCCTATCTTTGTTTTCACTTAGAGGAGAAATAAAAGTAACTTGATCCTGACCATTTCTAAACCCGAGCATTTGGTTTCCACATGGAAAGCATTTTCTTGTATCTTTATCACGTCCCTAAATGAAGGCTTATAGCACTTCCTGTCTGAAGACACCTCTTGCAGCAAAGATTTGCAGATGCATCTCCAGAAACAAGCCTGTGAAAGCTGAGTGTGAACGGGAAGAATTGTTTTGAGGCTTCCTTCCACCTCACAGACACATTACTTTCAGTTTTACCTAGGGCAATTCCCTGACCCATTCAGCCATGTGAAAACAAGTTTCTGTTATGCTTCTCAAAGATTAGCTTCTCTCACACTGCTTGTTCTCAGGCTCTGTTAGCCAAGGCTATGAGAAAGATACCAAGAGAATGTTTTGCTGAACTCAATAAAGTTCATATGGGATAAACTGTACGAAAGCAGCTCAAACAGCCATAACTCTTTGCAAAACAGATATAATACAAATTGGGATAAAGTCAGCAATTTCCTGTAGCACTTCATTATAGGAAGCCATTGCTGCGCCTCATCACAAACTACTGTACATTTAGGCAGCCTGAGATCAAGGCCCCCCTCCACTTTCTTCTTCAAAACAAAAATATCTGCTAGGATATACAAAGATAAGCAGCTCTGCTCGGTAAAGACAATGTTGTATTTCAGTTAACTGCAGGCCTTCCAAGGCTAGAAAAGTAATAGTCACTGTCAACAAGAGCTTCTGGATCTGTGTAGATTCTTTTGATACGTTTCTTACAGCATGCTGCATTAGTTGTTCTCAAGCTGCAGATGATGGGCCTCTGGTAGCATGGCCGGTTCCAGCTTTTTTGCCGCCCCAAGCGGCGAAGCGGGGGGTGGGGGGGAATAGAGCCGCGATCGGTGGCACTTCAGCAGCAGCTCTACCGTGCCGCTTCATTCTTCAGCGACAATTTGGCGGCGGGTCCTTCACTCCGAGAGGGACTGAAGGACCCGCCGCCGAATTGCCCCTGAAGACCCGGATGTGCCGCCCCTTTCCATTGGCTGCCCCAAGCACCTGCTTCCTTTGCTGGTGCCTGGAGCCGGCCCTGTCTGGTAGCCGATGAAGCACTTTCTGATAAACTGGCTGGTCACACAGTGCTGGCTCTCCTAACCCCAGCTGCTAAAGTCCAGTTTCTTTCCTAATATTAATTTTTGTGTAAGCAATTGCTGTATTTGCCACATGATGTTCTGATTGAATGTCTCATTGCCCCATCTATATGTTAAAATGCAAAGTATAAAAAGATTTGAGAACCCCCGCTTTGCAGTATTTGTGTTTCCCCAACTCTAATGTAATTAGCCAGTCTCCAGATTCTGCTAAGCCTTTGCTGACTCTCTCTGCCTTGTAAAGAACATTTGGAGTCCACTAGGATGGCACCAAATGGCATGTAATAAGATTTTCTGAGCGCAAATACCTCCTGGACCATTCCCTACCACAACTTTAATTTGCTCAGATCTCTTGGCAAGTCACTCATTTAGAATACTGATCTTATGGATATGCATGACATTCGTGACTCCCTATTATTGCTTCACATACTTAGAAACGGTAAACAAGCATCCTTTTGATAAGCAGGTTTGAAATGTGGTTTGGTTTAATTGTACTTCAACTTTTGTAAACACCACTCTAAATGTTGCTGAAATTTTATTTTGCATCGTTTCACCACAAACCGCCTCCATGAATTACAACAGATACGACATGTGTAGCTCAATCAAAAGCTGCAGAAATTACTGGATGAAATTATATGGGCTTGTCTTATGCAGATAGTCAGACTAGATGATCCTAATAGTCTCTTCTGGTCTTAATGTATTAATATTGTGGTGATCTGCACTGTAAATTAAAATCCCTTCATTCTGCAAATTAAAGATTCCAAGTCATTTAAGAAAAAGGAGGAATAAAATCAGTTTGCTAGTTATCTGTATTCCAAAAAGCAGATCCTAGTGTCCAACGGTTTGCATGAGCTATTGTTGAACACACAACAGCTACTGTGTTTTGCCTAAACAATCACACTATTAGTATCTATTTCATTACTATGGAAGCTTAAAAATGCTAAATAAAACCATTTTTTATTCTACAATATAATGGTATCTTTGCCTTCAAAAATAAATATTGGAGAATATCTATTATGAAAACTCAAGTAACCCAAGCAACATTCTGCATTTAAAATTATGGTTCTGTATGTGTAATGTATCATTAAACATGCAACCCTAAAATGCCATTTCTTTTAAGTCACTTTTCATCCCCCCCCCAAAAAAAAAACAACTACCATAAACTTACCTGTATTTTAACTGTTTCCCAATTCTAATTTTGTTCAGACTTTCAACTTTACCTTTGCATTAATTAATATTTAGTGTCATTATTTCCTTTGTGTTACTAACCAAGTTTGATTCTACCACATTGCATCTTGTGATTAAAGCATATCTT